CCAAGAAGACCTGAGTAGCAGACTTTCCAAAAATGTTTTTCAGGTAAGTCTGTGGGGCTTGGCACTGCTCTTCTGCAAAGAATCAATTTGATCCCCAGCCTGACAGCTGGCTGATGGGCCTGATTCTGCACACACAAAGAAAAAGCTCATCTGGAAGGGATGAAACCTGGACCTCTGTCTGCCTGATTGCAATTTCTGTACAAGTTCTGCTGAATGAGGGCCACACATCATCTTGACATGGGGAAAAAAATCACAGGAGAGAGATGTTCCCTCCTCTATCCTCCTTCCCACATTGCCTCAGAAGGAACATGTTAGCTTCAGTAAAGACTGTTTTCTGTGTTAGAATACAGTCTCCTGCTTTGCTAGAGAACATGGTAGTCTTTGGGCAGAACATATTTGCTGGGGTTTTTATCTTCAACTACAACAGTGTGACTTATGGTGTTGCTGACTATTAATGTATATTCGTAATATTACTTTGTCAACCATATATCCTCTTGGTGCACAGCTTGTTGTTGAAATATCTCAAATTCACCATAATGCTTCAAATATAAAAGCTATGGCTCCATTATATGGATGTGAGAAAAAGATCAAAAGAGTATAACATGAACATCCACAGAGCCATCTGCAGGGTAATATTTTAGATACCAATCTTTTCTATTATATTAATTTTTGTATCCTCTTATGGTGAATCATACTATTAGATAAACCTTATTAAATGTACATCCATATAAGAAAGCAAAATTCTGGTGACTGGGGAAAAATTTTCTGAAGGGAATTGACAGAAATGCATCTGTTATCATTAATCAGGGTTCTCCAGGCAAATGACTTGTAGAAGTTAAAACTATTACTCCTTTTTGCTTAGCTTCACTCTCTCTTAAAAGCACAAGCTGCTTCCTCTGCACTGTAGGAATACTATTTAGAAATCAACAGCATTTCCTGTTGTTCTTTCTGAAGGTACCAGGGCACCCACTGACAATTTTTCCAACACAAAATTCCACATGCAAGTGTCAGTACAGCTTCTCAGGGAAATTTCAAACATTTTCTTCGAATGGCCAATGGTGAAACACAGAATGACAACAGAGATTGTTTTCTCTTTCTTTAAAGCTGTGTGCATTTGTTTGCCAGCACAGATCTGCTGTTCAGGCAATATGTATAGTTTGTTTAGACCTTGTCTCAAGTGTAGTGCTGGCAAATGGAAACAGACCTTACAATGACATTGCTTCCTCTTCATCTTTCAGCTTCAGTTTTTGTGTCTACATAACTCAATTTCTTTGCTGGCTGTAAGCACACAGCCTTACAAGAATCAGTGGTTTGTCAGGATGATGGGAGAAAGGCATATTGACAAAATAGACTTGGATACACTATGCAGACCATGTAAGTTGAAAGATACTAGCTAGTAGCATAGTAAGGAGCTGTTAGGCAAAAAAAAAAAAAAAAAAAGTCATGAATGAGCATTTTTGTACTCTACAAGAAGTGGAAAGCATTTTTAATTTGCCTGCCCTTCCTACACACAGGAAGAGTGTGTAGCAGCCACTGCACTTTCTTGCGCATCAAATGGACTTCTGTAGGTAATCATCACTGACCTGTAGATTCTATTTTTATGCGATTCAATGGTTTCTCCCTGGAAAGTAAGGACAGCTAGTATGCCAAAGACTTGACAATTTTCATATCTCAACTCTCCCACTACCATGTTTTCAAAACTGCACTCCTTTCCATGCTTGCAGACTCCAGTATACTAGAATTCCATTATCCTCTGAATTTGCACTGGATTAAATTAATATATTTTTTTAGTATGTTTACTTTGTTTGGTTGGTTTTGAGGTTTTTTCCAGTTTAATACTAATGATTCAGGAGGAAACAGGGAATCTTAAGGAGGGATAATACTTGTTGCCATGATCCAAACTACTTGCTGTGGATAAATAGATAGCGAGGTACTCAGTCCATCCTTGGGACCTAGAGGAAAGCTTTACATCCACAGGTGATTTCTTGTTTGTGTACTCTCTTTATCAGCTTTCACTGCCCAGTTGTGTGCCAGAGGCTCTATTGGAGCCATTCTAAATCACTGGGTGAACCCTACTCAAGCCACTCCATACCCTGAGGTGGTTAGCATCTGGCAGCAGTATGATTAGCATGAAACAAACAACAGCTCTTTTTCGTCTACCACTTGCCTTTTGGGCATTGCTCATATTTTCCCTGTCTTCAGGAAAAGATAAGGAAAACAGATACCTACAGCCATAAATTGTTTAAGACAATCAGATTAAAAGCAATGAGAAAATATTATCAGCTGCAAAACAAGAACACTGACTTCTCACTTATGAAATCCCTTTAAGAAAAAGAAAAGCTGTGATGAGAACAGAAAAATCTATTGAAAAGTGTATCTGTGGGCAGATGTTTAAAAATATTTTTAGGAAGCAGGTTATGGTATTGTAAAAATAATGTAGTTAAGTAGTTTTATTGAATAAAAATCTGCTGAACTCTGAAATTGGTTCACACATCAGTAATTGCATGATTTATGCTCAAACTGTTTTAATTTATTCCTTTTCTTAAAGCACTGCCCTCTGTCTTCTAAATAGGTGGAGTTATTTATTATAAAATTGACAAACCAATACATTAATTAAAAATTTTCCTATGGTATGGATATAAAAAAATGCTATAATATATATTTTTTAGAACTTTTACAATTACTATATTTATTCTTAGAAACAGTTCTTGGAAGCAGCTGCAAATCAGGAGAAATTCAATAGCAGACTTCTTGCAATAATTGTTAAATCAATAGTAAGTAGTAGAATTTTTTAATATCAGTACTTTTTGAGAGAGGAAGATCTTTTCATGTTCAAGAATTGTGTTTGTCGCCTGTTAAAATTATATGTCCAAATTATAGCCATATTTCTCAAACTGAGCAAAGCTGCAGTGTTGTCTTTTTGTGCTTTAGAAGCCAACAAGGTGAATATTGTATCTTTGATCCTCTTCAGAGCCCAAATAAAACAGGGGATGGGGATTTATGTTTTCACTATTCATGGCAACTTTGGAAAATACAATCCTTTTCCTAACTTTTAATATCAGTGAAATGTGTGTGCTGCATTGACTACTAGAAGCAATCCACAATAAGGCCTTCAGCCTTCTGTGGGAATTGCAGGGTTTGGATCCCACAACAGTAGATCCTCATGAAATTTAATGTCTGGTGAAGTTATTCACAAGGACAGGATGGATGTGACCTGGCACTGATCTGATGGGAAACTGCTGAAACACAGCATTGGACCATATTAGCTAAAAGGCTTTTGAAAATGCTCCTGCTATAATCAATAGTACATAGAAGAAGCAGCTGCTCAGAACCATGCACAATAATTTTATCCCTTTTTTGCTAGGAACAGCTGAATATTTTAAAGATCATCAACTGTTTTAAGATTGCAAATCTGTATGTACTTTTGGGAATATAATTTTAAATTATTTCTTTATTTCATTTCATAAACTGCATTTTTAATAGAAGTTTCCTCATTTACAAACTTCTAAAACAGTTTATATGATATAGCTGCCTATGATGACCTTTCACTGACAGTCAAAGTATGGCTACTGAAAAATGCTTATGTACATACAAGTGCTTATTTTTGACTACAGGGATTGTCTTTCTGTCTTCATCAACTCATCTGTCAACATCAACACATTTTAAAATTCACTTTGAGCTAAAAGTTGCCTTCTTTGTCACTGACTATCAGGAACACTCAGTACTGGATAATTAATATTCTTTTTTTCTATGCATACAGCATTGAATTTGCCTCTCATAGAACACGCGATTTCTTAAAGTAGTGCAGTCCACCTGCAAATACTTATCATATTTGTGTATTATTAACTACTCTACCATTTTTTATGGTCATCTGCATTCACAGGAGAAGGAGACCCCAGAAACTACAGGCCTACCAAACTATCTTCAGTGCATGGAAAATATTATTCTGAGAAGTATCCGAAAGCGCCTGGAGTGTCTCAGTCATAGGTAACAGCCAGGGCAAGCTTCTTGCCTGTCAAACCTTATTTCCTTCTAGGAAAGGAAACTCACTTAGTTTACCTAGGAAACTGAGTGAATGCAATCTTTTCAGCAATGCTTTCAACACTGCCTCTCACAGGATCCTCCTGGACAAAATACTAATAACCAGGTTACATGGTGGGTGGGCAACTGGCTCAGTCAGGCACAAAGGGTTATAATGAGTGGCGTGACACCAGTCTGGTGACCTGTCACGAGTGGGGTTCCACAGGGCTCCATCCCCAGTCCTGTGCTCTTCAGCATCTTTATAAATTACTTGGACAAAGGGCATGAAGGAATACAATATAAGTTTGTTGGTGACACTAAACTGGGAGGAGCTTTAAACTCCCTCAAGGACAGAGAGGCCCTACAGAGAGACCTTGACAATTGAGAGGGCCAGGAAGTCACCAACCAGAGTTTAGCAAGGACAAGGGCCAGATTCTGCACCTTGCTTAACATTTTCAGGGGCAATTTAGAGAGTTAAAACAAGCTGATCCAATATTTTTTTTCCCAAACTCTCAGTTGGAATGAATGTCATCACACTACAGTTTCATCATCAAAGTTTTAAACTTGTATTTATTTTAAACATGTTCAAGTGTAGATAAGTAATTTGATTCTGGTTAAAATAATGGCAACAGATGCTCTTAATTGAAGCAATGTATTTTTAAAGGCTGCAGCACAGCTGTGAGTATCATCTTTGTGGGAAATGACACTGGACCACAATTAGTTATATATTCTTTTTACTATAAAAGTACCCTTCAGTTATCTTACTTGATATAGTACTAAACATGATCTCAGTAAAGAAGTAATAAAAAAATCCATATTACCCAAGAGAATTACCCTTGTGTTATTGATTAAAGTAAATAAAACCTATAATATTGTGTCCCTCTTGTCTCTTAAACTAATGAATGCATTTCAAGTTTGCTTGTCTGAAGCTTTTATACTTTAGAACACTGAATTAGTTTAACATGTATTAAATTACTTACAGTGAATCCTCCAATTACATTAAGACACAATCCTTCATTCAGACAGTTGACGCTGAGCAGCCTGCAGTAGTCAATTACTTCCTCACAGTTCTTCCCAGTGAATCCTGGCATGCAGCTGCAAATGCACCAGTGTATTTTAGAGAACTTGCATTTAAAAAGTTAATTGTATTTAATTATGTTCCATAATTCTATTAAATTATGTTCTTGCAGTAACAAAACAAATCTCTTATGTTATTTAAAATAAACAGAATATGTTTTCAAGAAATTGAAAATCCCTTGGATGATTCTGAATAAGTTTGCTTTTCATTAATAATTTCTTTAATTGATTAAAATATTTTCAAACAAACATTTCATATAATCTTCCAGGAAAAAAAATCTATAATGAGGTAATATTTAATAAACAGCTGTTGACAAGGTAACAAGATTTTGGAAAACTATTAGAGAAAATAGGTCAATTTAAGTATCAGGGAGATATTTTAATATAAAAAAATATGATAAGTGAAGTATAAACACCAGTCATTGCTAATGGATAAAGAATAGTATAAATGGTAAATAATGACATGCTTAATTATGTAAATAACAATCTGAGACAACAATTCATAGTTGTTGACATGTTTGCTTAATTGTAATTCAGTATTTTCTTTAAAGAAAAAAATAGCATTCAATTTTTGTGACTATTAGTTCCACGTGATGCCAGTGGAGTGATGGCATCACGTCATGTATGTATCATGATGGCATCAAGTCATGTATGTAAAAGGAACTGCAGAAATTTCGTCTGTTTCATGTCAACTATTACTATTAGCAGGAGAAAATCCTTTCCTGATGTAGCCCTCCCATGTTAAAAAAAAATCTCTAATACACAAATAAAAGAGAGGAGATTCAAATGGATAGTAAAGAAGTCTTATTTAAAATCAATAATGAATCAATGTAGAAAAATATTTGAATACTTATATCTTGATAGATAATCCTTGTAAACACTCTCACTATCTTCTTACAGACCCAGAATGGTCCCCTGTCTAAAGGCCATTTCTGGTATCATTGAAAGAAAAGACTTAAGAAGAAAAAGGAAATGGCCAGTTAGCTGAAAATTTGTGTTTGTGAAAGAATCCAAAAGTAATAGATGGGAATTTCTTTAACTCTTTCTAAGAAGCAGGTTTTTTTCAAATTGTTAAGTCCAGAAGCTGGAAATTATGAAGATTATACAGAATTGCTCCTGGTTTTCCTGTGTTCTTGCTCCTAATAAATATGACATCCAGGTGTGTTGCTTATGTTTTCTCATAGATAAAACCTATCCAATCCCTGGTTTCAAAATTCATGGAGCTTCTAGCAGTTACACAGTACACTAAAGTTAGGGATATATTTTCCACAGCAACTTCTTGGGCAGCAGTATTCAATAGAAAGCAACTGGGTTAACCAGACTTCCTAAATCAGTTCAAGATGTCTATCTGTGGGTATGGCTCTGAGTCTGAGGAATGCACAGACACATTTAGCATGTCCAGAGGCTTAAGTAATTTATTAACCTTAGTGAAGTGTTAAACTGGTTGGATTTAATCAGAAATCTCTGGAAATCAACCACAATTCATGCATAGGACCATGTGGGCAGAGGTAAATGAATATGGGAAAACCTTCTGTAAATGGATATATGCTTTCAGGCTGGTATAGACACAACCACATAACACTCTAAGAAAGTTGTAGTGAACCACATAATCCTCACCTTCCTCTTAAAAAAGATGCTACATGTGATCATATTTCTGCCATTTCAAGTACTTCACTTCAAAATTCTTGCAAACTCTATTCCTTATAAAGTTCTAGTTCATGTATTCTAGTTAAAAGGAGTTTTTAGTAATAAAATTTAAATATGAAAGGAACGTAAATAACAATAAAAATATTTTGTATATTTTTCTTATAATTTTTTAATTACATCTAAAACCAAGTCAGAGCAACTCTATTAAAATGTTTTTTTTACTGATTTGTTTTTACCCATGATCTGAAGTGAAAGAGT